TTAAATAAACTTTGTTTATTATATTTGATAATATTATTACATTGTTTCCATGATGTTGTTAGGTCACTTATGGAAACAGTTAATGCAGATGTAACTGATAATAATTTAGAAACTTTGATGCATTCAATGATGGAACATGCAAATATTGTAACAAAAGAAACTATAGATTTGCAAGATTTTAAACAAATTCTAAGTGATTTCAATAATAAGTTTAATTATGCAGAATTAGAATTTAATATTAATACTACTGGGAAATGTAAAAAATTACATATTAGTGCATCTACATCTACATCTCGACCAACGTATATGGGAATAGTACAAACAATAGTGGAAAGTCTGTATGAAGATCCAAGTGAATTACGAAGAAGAATTGGTGGTGATACAAAGATAGAAACGCACAATATACATGAGATAGAAAAAATTGTTGATGATGTTCAACATGTTCAAGATTATTGGTATCCTATAATGAAATATCTTGCAAATAAAAAGTTACAAATATTCTGGCTATGTTTATATACTTTCATTCTTTTTGCTATTTCTGCAGAGAGATTTTATTGTAAGTATACTTTTAACTTTTCTAAAGTTGTTTGTATATGTTACTAACATTATTGCAGACTATTCTGTGGAACGTGAACACTCTGGTTTAAGACATATTTTAGGATATGGGATAGCAATTACTAGAGGAGCAGCATCTGGAATAATGTTTACATATTCAACTCTTTTAATTACAATGTGTAATAATACAATTACACTTCTAAGAGATACTATTTTACAGTTGTACATACCATTTGAATCTATGATTGAAATGCATAAATACATTGCTTGTTGTGGATTGGTTTTTACAGGTAAACAATAGACATATAATGTATTTTAAAGTTTAAATAAAATATTAATTATTTAATCTATATTAATATCTACTTTTAACAAAATTTCAGTACTACATGTAATTGGTCATGGATTTAACTTCTATCATATTTCAACACAAAGTGCTGATGACTTAACATGTCTTTTTCCTAATTATTTTCATGCGTAAGTAATTCATAGTCGATTCTATATAAATTAATACTAATCGGAAACTTATATTTTAGCACACATGAATTGCCCAAATTCCACTACTGGAGTTTTCAGACAATAACAGGATTAAGTGGAATCCTTTTAACCATCATAACAGCATTGATATACCTGTGTACTTTACCAAACGTTCGCAGACTACTTTATAATTGGTTTCGATTAACACACTCTTTATATCCTGTTTTCTATGTTTTAATAATAATACATGGAGCAGGAAGATTAGTTCAAGTATTAATTTTATATAAAATTAATATATAAATACAATTTGTTTTTAGAATTATTATACTACAATATTTAATGTATAACAGGAACCACATTTTCATTATTTTTTTTTGGGTCCGTTAACTCTATTTATTTTTGATAAAATTATTACTGTGACAAGGAAAACTATTGAAATACCTATATTAAAAGCAGATATACTACCATCAGGTAAATTTATAATTTATCACATATGGGAATTATAAAGCATAGTAGATACATATTTGTTTCAGATGTGGTTTGTATTGTATTCTCCAAGCCTCAAAATTTTAATTACAAATCTGGACAATGGATTAGGATTGCATGTCCTACATTACAAACGAATGAATATCATCCTTTCACATTATCGTCTGCACCTCATGAATCAAATTTAACTGTACATATTAGAACAGTTGGATCTTGGACTACTAAAATTAGAACTAGATTAGATCCCACTATAAAATTTGATCAACGATTACCAATGGTATGCAAATATTAGAGTCTTAAATAGTTACCTATTTTATAATTTGTTTATTTTCAATAGATTCATATAGATGGTCCTTATGGTGAGTGCCATCAAGATTGGTATAAATATGATGTAAGTATATTGATAGGAAGTGGAGTAGGAGTTACTCCTTTTGCATCAATTTTAAAAGATGCTGTATACAAATTAAATCATGATTTGAATTTGGAATGCAAAAAGGTAATATTAACATAAATACAATTTCAATATAAATTCTAGACATTAATCTTGACATTAATATATAGGTATATTTTCTTTGGATAACGAGAACGCAAAAACAATTTGAATGGATGGTTGATATAATAAGAAATGTTGAAAATGCTGATTTTAATGCTACTATATTGTCTCATATTTTTATTACACAATTTTACCAGAAATTTGATTTAAGAACTATATTATTGGTAAACTATAAATAC